ACCAAGAGGTCAAGTACTGCGCACACGCCCTTGTTGCTGAATGTATACGAAGATCTTTGGGACAATCTGTAAACTGCCTTCACTTGGTCATCTGGAACTGTCAGTCTGAAATATTTAGAAATATACATTCAGCATATATAACAAGGTGACTGTGGTCAATAAAGCCAAATGGAAAATACTCAGAAAGTTTTTCCAGTAACATCTAACTATAAGACAGACAGCAAGGTCACCCCCATTTGAATATGTGGACATATGGCATGCAGATTACATTTCCAGCAATAACCATTTCAAGTCCCTAAGTCAACGAGCAACCTTCATCTTTGACCAATAAAAGCATTGGGTACTTCTCTTAAGTTAACAACAGAAAATTATAACATTTTCATATCTAAACTATCAATCCACCTACCTAACTTTCCTGGATAACTAACCAGTAATTAATTACCAATGTCTCTGCAAGTAACCGACTACAATTCCTATATGATTACTAAATCAACATTGACAGACAAATGCCCATTAGACTCAATATATAAGACAAGAGGGCCATGATGGCCCTGAGGTCGCTCACCTGTATATAGGCCCCCCACCCCCGGACCAATTTTTACCCAAGGGCTTTTATTTGTTTATTTGAACAGACTTGGTCGACACCCATAAGAAGATGTTTCATGCTAAACATCTAAGTTCTAGCTCATTGGCTTTTTTAAAAGAAGATTTTTAAAGTTTTTACTATACACATATAGTTAAAAACAATGACACCCCTGGGGCAGGGCCAGTTTTGACCCTCGGGCGTTTATTTTAACAAACTTTGTAGATATTTACTTAAAGATGTTTCATGCTTAATATCTAAACTCTAGCTATTTGGGTTTTTCCAAAGAAGATTTTTAAGTTTTTGCTATACACATATAAGGAAAATCAATGACCCCCCCGGGCGGGGCCAGTTTTGACCCCAGGGCTTTTATTTGAACATACTTGGTAGAAACCCATTAGAACATGTTTCATGCTAAATATCTTAGCTCTAGCTCTTTGAGTTCTTTAAAAGAAGATTTTTTAAGTTTTTACTATATGCATATAGGGAAAATCAATGACCCCCTGGGGCGGGGCCAATTTTGACCCCAGGGCTTTTATTTGAACAAACTTGGTAGACACTCATTAGAAGATGTTTCATGCTAAATATCTTAGCTCTAGCTCTTTGGGTTCTTTAAAAGAAGATTTTTTAAGTTTTTACTATATGCATATAGGGAAAATCTATGACACCCTGGGGCGGGGTCAATTTTGACCCAAGGGCTTTTATTTGAACAAACTTGGTAGACATTCACTAGAAGATGTTTCATGCCAAATCTCTAACCTCTAGCTCTTATGGTTCTTTAAAAGAAGATTTTTTAAGTTTTTACTATATGCATATAGGGAAAATCAATGACCCTCGGGGCCGGGCCAATTTTGACCCCAGGGCTTTTATTTGAACAAACTTGGTAGACACTCACTAGAAGATGTTTATGCTTAATATCTTAGCTCTAGCTCTTTGGGTTCTTTAAAAGAAGATTTTTGAAGTTTTTACTATATGCATATAGGGAAAATCAATGACCCCCTGGGGCGGGGCCAATTTTGACCCCAGGGCTTTTATTTGAACAAACTTGGTAGACATTCACTAGAAGATGTTTCATGCCAAATATCTAAGCTCTAGCTCTTACGGTTCTTTAAAAGAAGATTTTTTAAGTTTTTACTATATGCATATAGGGAAAATCAATGACCCCCAGGGGCGGGGCCAATTTTGACCCCAGCGCTTTTATTTGAACAAACTTGGTAGACACTCACTAGAAGATGTTTCATGCCCAATATCTTAGCTCTAGCTCTTTGAGTTCTTTAAAAGAAGATTTTTTAAGTTTTTACTATATGCATATAGGGAAAATCAATGACCCCCTGGGGCGGGGCCAATTTTAACCCCAGGGCTTTTATTTGAACAAACTTGGTAGACACTCATTAGAAGATGTTTCATGCTAAATATCTTAGCTCTAGCTCTTTGGGTTCTTTAAAAGAAGATTTTTTAAGTTTTTACTATATGCATATAGGGAAAATCTATGACACCCTTGGGCGGGGTCAATTTTGACCCAAGGGCTTTTATTTGAACAAACTTGGTAGACATTCACTAGAAGATGTTTCATGCCAAATATCTAACCTCTAGCTCTTATGGTTCTTTAAAAGAAGATTTTTTAAGTTTTTACTATATGCATATAGGGAAAATCAATGACCCTCGGGGCCGGGCCAATTTTGACCCCAGGGCTTTTATTTGAACAAACTTGGTAGACACTCACTAGAAGATGTTTCATGCTTAATATCTTAGCTCTAGCTCTTTGGGTTCTTTAAAAGAAGATTTTTGAAGTTTTTACTATATGCATATAGGGAAAATCAATGACCCCCTGGGGCGGGGCCAATTTTGACCCCAGGGCTTTTATTTGAACAAACTTGGTAGACATTCACTAGAAGATGTTTCATGCCAAATATCTAAGCTCTAGCTCTTACGGTTCTTTAAAAGAAGATTTTTTAAGTTTTTACTATATGCATATAGGGAAAATCAATGACCCCCTGGGGCGGGGCCAATTTTGACCCCAGGGCTTTTATTTGAACAAACTTGGTAGACACTCATTAGAAGATGTTTCATGCCCAATATCTTAGCTCTAGCTCTTTGGGTTCTTTAAAAGAAGATTTTTTAAGTTTTTACTATATGCATATAGGGAAAATCAATGCCCCCCTGGGGCGGGGCCAATTTTGACCCCAGGGCTTTTATTTGAACAAACTTGGTAGACACTCACTAGAAGATGTTTCATGCAAAATATCTAAGCTCTAGCTCTTATGGTTTTTTAAAAGAAGATATTTAAAGTTTTTTCTTTTGGTTGCCATGGCAACCAGAGTTCTGCATGGAATTAAATTCTTTGAACAATTTTTAAAGGTGACCACCAAAGGAACATTCCTGTGAAGTTTGGATGAAATTGGCTTAGTGGTTTATGAGGAGATGTCATTTAAAGCAAAAGTTTACGGACGGACGGACGACGGACGGACGACGGACGAAAAGCGATCACAAAAGCACATCCTGTCACTTTGTGACAGGTGAGCTAATAAACTGTCACGGAGAGATTTCACCTCAATCGACATTCTTTCAGACACACTATGTCTTCTAATGAACTATCATTGGTAAGTAACACTTCCTTATCAGAGCTTTACGCTTTAATGACCTTTAGAGAAAAATAACTTTCTATTTCTAAATAATATGACATATAATCAGTTCAATAAAAACGCTTTTCTTAAGCTTTCGACGTTTAGTCTTCTTCAGAAAAAATTGACATTTATTAAATAACAAATGACGCAACGTCCGTTTAACTATACGCTAAACAGAACGTGACGTTAACGCGGGAATAAAAACTTTGTCAAATAAATACAGAATCTTTCATGAATATAAATACAGCAATATACAATAAATTACACATATAATATGGATCTGCACATGTGATACAAAAATTCTCATAATTAATAATAATAAAAAACCTTGATATGAGAAAAAACATACTACATGTATATGTATACCGGCTCAATAATGACAAAGTTATATATTGTACAAAACTTTTGCATTCATACTATTAGGAGATAATGTGTTAAGCTTATGAATCCAGTATGATTCTTGTAATAAGCGTTCCATATCATCGGTGACAATCTCTATAGGCATAAATTTAAAATCCTTAACACAATGATTGGTTTTATTAAAGTGTGTAGCGACATTGGTCGAAAATAACGGATCGGAAAAATTGTTGATATCAAACCTATGGCTATTCATGCGTTTAGACACTTGTTGCTTCGTTTGACCAACATATTGCTCTTTACATTTATCACAAGTGACAAGATATATAACATTTTTCGTAGAACAATCAGTATTGTTATTAACATGATAATTCTTACCAGGAATATTAGTACTACTAAATATATTGCTTTCAATAATGGAGCTACAATGTGTACATCTACTTCTATTACATTTGGATGAACTTTTTTTTTTTTTTTTTTTTTTTTTTTTTTTTTTTTAAATAATATGATAGACAGACAGCATTTTCTTTTGGAAAATGCGAAATCCTGCAAAGATATATAATAATATCGGTGACTTTGATACACGCTGCCTGACCTCTCTTTGACATAGCTGAAACAACATTGCTAAATCTTTAACCGCTGAAATGATAAAATCCATTTTTAGGCTTAATGACCTTGACCTTTACCCCTGGATTTTTTTTTTTAATAATATCAACATTCATATTTAAGAAATAAAATCTTTTTTTAGGCACAATGACCGTGACCTTATCCCATGTATTTTTTTTTAATACTATCAATGTGTAGCGGTCCATTATAACGTTACAACATACTAAATATTGTGTGACATTATTAATATGATTGTATCAATTTATCGTCACCACAAGAAACCCACACAAGCTCCAATCAGAGTATTGTTAGTTATTTTACTTTTTGAAGCATACACAAAAACAAGAGGGCCATGATGGCCCTGAAGTCGCTCACCTGTATATAGGCCCCCTGGAGTGGGGCCAGTTTTAACCCCAGGGCTTTTGTTTGAACAAACTTGGTAGACACCCATTAGAAGATGTTTCATGCTAACCATCTAAGGTCTAGCTCGTTGGGTTTTTTAAAAGAAGATTTTTTAAGTTTTTTCTTTGCACATATATTTAAAAACAATGACACCCCTGGGGCAGGGCCAGTTTTGACCCCAGGGCTTTTATTTGAACAATCTTTGTAGACACTTACTAGAAGATGTTTCATGCTTAAAATCTAAACTCTAGCTATTCAGGTTTTTTCGTAGAAGATTTTTAAGTTTTTGCTATACACATATAAGGAAAATCAATGTCCCCCGGGGCGGGGCCAATTTTGACCCCAGGGCTTTTATTTGAACAAACTTGGTAGACATCCATTAGAAGATGTTTTATGCTAAATATCTTAGCTCTAGCTCTTTGGGTTCTTTAAAAGAAGATTTTTTAACTTTTTACTATATACATATAGGGAAAATCAATGACCCCCTGGGGCGGGGCCAATTTTGACCCAAGGGCTTTTATTTGAACAAACTTGGTAGACACTCACTAGAAGATGTTTCATGCCAAATATCTAAGCTCTAGCTCTTTGGGTTTTTTAGAAGAAGATATTTAAAGTTTTTTTCTTTTGGTTGCCATGGCAACCAGAGTTCTGCATGGAATTAAATCTTTGAACAATTTTCAAAGGTGACCACCAAAGGAACATTCCTGTGAAGTTTGGATGAAATTGGCTCAGTGGTTTATGAGGAGATGTCATTTAAAGTAAAAGTTTACGGACGACGGACGGACGCCGGACGAAAAGTGATCACAAAAGCTCACCCTGTCACAAAGTATAAAAATAGCTAAAAATATTATATATATATATAGTTCCCGACTTTTTACCATATTTACCTCCCTTGCCAAAAGTGGCAGCCATATTTTGGGGTTAATATTCTATATATAATTTAATTGACAAAATATAAAACATCAACATAAACAGCTGATTTTGGTAAATTGCCAAATTCTTTTATGGAAAATATTATTATAGGACCAATATGTAAAAGATTTTATCAGTTTCCATAAAGATGATTGTGAATTATGCGAGACTTTTATCAGGTCTTAATCTTATTGGGAATGACTCTGAAGATGGTGACCATGGGAGGTAATAATTGCTATCTGAAAAGCATCTATCAGGGCAGTACAATCTACTTTAACCATCTGTAACCTTGACCTTGATATGCTATTAATATATTGGTCAACATGTATTGATCAGTTAATAAACGCATTATAAGAATGGTTACTAATATTAATAACAATGGAGGATAGAAGGACAGCGTGCTAAACTACATGTATTCTCGACAGAAAAACAAGAGCCTGCATAATGTAGAATTTTCTAAGTTCAAAAAGGGCCATAATTCTGCCAAAATCCATGTTAAAGTCAACGGCCTTGCACAGAGATTGGTCAGTGAAGTTTCTAAAATGTAGTGACAGAAAACAGAACGAATGGCAAAATCAGCAAAAAAATAAAAATCATCTAAAAATCTTTTTGCATGGAGCATAACAATATCTTTCAAGAAAAGTTTGGGCAGATATTATGAATTACTTAAGCTGCATGACACCAGATGAGTTAAGATTTTAATTTTTTTTTTTTTTTTTAAGAAAAATAAAAAGATTCAAGATTCAAGTAATAATATACATTTTATGTGCACTACAAGACTGATTTTGCAGGATTTATCACCACATTATAACTGCATGACTTAAGCAATAAGGGCTTCTTTTGTATAACTTTTGTATAATTTGACCTTTTTTTTAAAGTAATTTTTGTTCATTAAAATTGCGATTTAAAATTACTTTCTTCGCTCACTTCACAATATCTTACTTTTAAATACATTTTCAAAATTTCCATGATAATTAGCATGAACCTGGAGGGCATGCTCCTTTAATAAATTAACATGCACTTAATTCAAATTAACAACATAACAAATAAATTCTTTAAACAGATTTTTATGCACAAGTATTGTATTGTCACTCACTGGAGCATGTAAAACATGCAAATATTTCATACCACTAGATTTAAAACCACTTGGGGAAAAAAAATTTGCAGGACTTGTTAAAAAAACCTATACGAGCTGTCAGTAAATATTGACAATAACCGATATAAATTTACCAGCTGAATTCTATCATGAACTGTATACAGGAAATCCACTTTGATCAGTTTGTAAATGAACCAAAAAAAATATGTTAACAAAAAGCACAAAAACTGTTTTACAAATTACTGCTGGCATAGATTATAACATGTATTATATGACCTGGAAACCTGACAAAAGGCTGATTATCAACATGCATGAGCAATTTACATTACACCACCTTGAGTGCAATAATCAGTTAGCTCCTATAAAATTTAGACAGACTTAACCCGTTATTGCACTAAGGTGACAATTATTAATTTACACAATGGTTCCAAGTATTATCTGATTGGGAAATGATTACACTCAAGATAATGTGCCTGTGCTGATTAGTCAGTCCTCTTGTCTCAATATGTTCCCAATCAATACCAGTATAATATGATGACACTATTAATATCGGCAGATAGGCTACCACATTTTGGTAGCAGAGTGTTCAACATCTTATAGCTGGCTAAACTAGATTGTCTGAAAATGCAGTCTTTTTGAAGCATTGCCTATTATGTATTGGTAAAATCTTTGGAGGTAGAAAATCAGACCAAAAATGTGGGGATTTTGGGCCCAAAATGTGGGGATTTGGGAGGTTTTTAGTCAGACCCAAAATGTGGGGACTTGAAAGACTGCAAGTCAAACCCATAATGTGGGGATTTGAAAGACTGCAAGTCAAACCCAAAATGTGGAGATTTGAAAGACTGCAAGTCAAACCCAAAATGTGGAGATTTGGGAGGCTGAAAGTTAGACACAACTTATGTGTTAGGCACCTAAGACTCATAAGAGTACAACCTTCTTCAAGTTAGGAGATCAATCTACCCTATTACTTATTCTGCAATAAATTATCATTATTTTCTATTCTAACTTATGCTAACTATATTTTGATTGATTGAATATTGGTACTTCATATATCTGCTATATCAAACAAGTGCATGTACCAGGGAACATTTATAGGATAAAATATGGTATTCTGTTATATCTGAATATATAATCTTGAATGTAATGGAAATCTGTGGTTAAACAGCACTAAAATGTTGCAAAAAAACTTATCACCAATGTCGAAGAAAAATAAAACAACCACCCCTCTGCTACATCACCATAAATTTATCTCATAAAATTAAACTAAACTCTTAGAGATAGCACTAATAAATTCAGTACAACATGATATTTTTTCTTGTGGAAATGTTCGTTTTTTATCATTTTTATTGAATCATAATATGCTAATACGATGAAGGAACTATACGCTTGACTGATTTTTATTTTCTACTATCAAAAGAATATGATAATCAGAATGATGATGCATTTAACTTATTCAAAAGTACATAACAATAAAGCAAAGATGAGGTACCTTGAGGTTGGTTTTTGTGTGTGTGTGTGATTTTTAAACATGTTATGGATGTTCACTTGAATATATTTCGTAGAAACAAATGTCTTATTAAATCGCTAAACAAGCATGCCCCGGGTTGTTTTTTTTCTACGTAAGATTTTTTTACAACATTTATCATGCCAATTTTATTTTTTATCCGTTACCATTTATAAAAGGTAAACAATGCTTGAATTCAAAGGAACATACCTGCCAGTGTAAATAAAATCGAGGAGAAATTTAAACTCCTCCCATCGCACATCTTTTAACTTGAACATGGCTTGGTTTCTGTCGTCTTCGAGTCCCTTCTCGAACATTTTGAAGAAGAAGCTACTAGCAGACGCCAGCACTGCTCGATGTATACAAGTCTCATGATCACCTACGATTAGCTTCGCGTCGCAAAACTGATCCCGTTTGTGCATCTTACATAACTGTGATAGAATATTTGACGTGTGAAAATCATCTTCGTAATCAAGCTCTTTCACTTCCTTGATTTCCGATTCGGACTCGGTCCGTTCCATGTTTCTCGGCTTCATCGCAGGTGTTTTGCTTGCGAACTTTGCAAGATGTCAAAGTTTCATATCAACAAACAGTCAGTCTGAAAGATTTAAAATATTCTTCAATTAATCAGTGTTAACATTACAACAATGCAAGAGCACATTCCATAGCATATCCCATAACAAATGACAATGAAAAAGACATTTGAACGATTTAAGATGATCAGAGATTGATGATGAACTCCCTTTATATGTAATATACATGTACTTCTTACTCACATTACAAAGTTTTCTATATAAGTAACATAAATTGATTAATCAATTAATGCTCAGCTCAGTCACATGTAAGTGACAAAAGTAATCTTAATGACAGAAGCAAATAAGAGAAAGCTATATTCATATATACTGCTTGATTTCAGTTTGTGATTACACAATTGAAATTTAATGGACTCTACTTCTTTGATTTTTAATTTGGACCCAAATTTATTGTTAGTTTTTTAGGGAATTTTTAGGTATAAAAAATATAAAATTTTTAGCAAAAAAAAAAAGCTTAAAAAAAAAGTTAAAATTGTACTTAAACAGGGTGGGGAGAAGGTGATGGACGGTACATAAAAGCTTATATATACCCCTGGGAAATTTATAAAAAAAGAAAAGAAATTGAATACAGATATTTTAATAACCCTTTTGGGGTGAAATCTTTTATTCCCGCTGTAAATTTAAAATTTAAATTTTTAACCTTTTGGGAAAAATGGGGGGCCTATAAAAAGGCCTCTACCCAATTGAATTTTGCTTTCTGCAAAAATTTTGAACTTACTACAGCTTTTTTACTTTCCAAATAAACAATTTTAGCAAAAATGTTCCCAAAATCAATTAAGTGAGAGAAAAATTCTGTACTAAAATATTACAAAGCTGCTTGTTTTTTTTTATCCATTTTTATTTTCTATTTTTCTTTTCTTCTTACAGTAGGCAATGGCTTACATAGAACAACATACAACATTCTTCTAAAATAAACAATAATAGCACTTTAAGTCCTTACATAACTTACAAGTGTTTCTTTCCTGTGTAAAAGATTTCATGAAATATCAATCTATCTATCTATATATATATATATGAGCCGCGTCACGACAAAACCAACATAATGGGTTTGCAACCAGCATGGATCCAGACCAGCCTGCGCATCCGCGCAGTCTGATCAGGATCCATGCTGTTCGCTTACAAACCCTATTACAAGTAGAGAAACTGATAGCGAACAGCATGGATCCTGATCAGACTGCGCGGATGCGCAGGCTGGTCTGGATCCATGCTGGTCGCAAACGCACCATGTTGGTTTTGTCGTGACGCGGCTCATATAAACACACTAAGTACCAGCCCTGTACTATCTCAACATAACCTCTGGATCAATTCACATATATCTCATCACAAGATCCCAGCATGAATTCATAACCTTTCCAAACTCCATTATAACATCATATAATTATTCAATCTATTTTCTATACAGAAAATATTCAGCAAAACTGTATCAGTAATATAAAGGTTAAGGTAAGCTTTTACCAAAATTTAGTAATCATAAGGTGACCTTTATTGCAAAAGCTACCTGGTTTCATAATTATGACAGTTTTTAGGAAACTTGCATTTTTCAATTATATTAAAGACACTTAACATTATATATGTAATTTAATATCATTCAAGTTATATGTAGTTTAATATCATGTAAGTTATATGTAATTCAATATCATGTAAGTTATATGTGCCAGTAATATGTAATTTAATATGTAAGCTTTATGTACTTTAATATCATGTAAGTTATATGTAATTCAACATCATGTAAGTTATATGTAATTTAATATCATTTAAGTTGGTATTAAATGTTAATGAAACCTCCAATGGGTTATTAAACAGTCACAGTGCAATGACAGTGATTTCACTATAACTATGTCATCTGCAAACATAATAAATTGTTAATAAATCTGACACATTGCTTCATTTCAGAATGTTTCTGGTTCTATAACCAGCTACTGACATCATACTGGAAACAGTAACAGTGTATTACTCATTTATTCAGTGTGACTCAATATACTAGTACTAGTAGTACAGTACTCCATGTTCATCAAATTGTCAATGGGAGGAATGCTGGTTGCCTGCATTAAAGTACTAGGAATCTTTTGCGTAAGGAATCGACAACCAGGCTATATGTATGATTGATATTTTCTTATAATTTTGTTTTAGGCCCTCTAATTTTTTAGACCCTCTAATTTAATAAACAACCTAGCTACATACAAACATACTGAAGCATTCTGCATCTACAATTTAAAATAGTCATCATGGTGAATTTTAGTTAAAAATACAGGATAAAAACATTTGAAGCCCCTTAAATAATGTTCGCCTTTCAAAAGAAAGAGCATCTAGCTGGGTACCATCCTAGACTTTCTGAGTATGTTAATCAGGCTGAATAATATCCTTACAAGTAAAAAGTCGACAGCACTTGCATGGAAAAAAAAGTGGATTGCTGTGACTGGAAAATGAAGCAGCGCTATTAAAGACGTCCTTCAGAGAAAGCTTAAAAGAACTCATCGTCGGTCACCAACGGTTTATATTCCGTACATAAAAATAATGTATGGAATATATATTGTGGGTAACCCACTATTATTGTAACAAGTCTTCAATAATCAAGCACGTCAAAATGCCTTTCGCAGTTGAATTCATATTTCATCATCACTTACATTGGCTCGCTACTGAGGCATTAAGTATAGGTTAGAGTGCATATTGGGTGTTCTTTGTAAATAAGAAAGCTAAAAAGGAGCGGAGCTTGCGAGGCGACTGTAGCTTTCTTATTTACGAAGAACATCCAATATGCACTCTAACCGGCTTAGTGCTCTGCCCACTTGCGTTTTATAATATAAAACGTCCAGTTTATATAAAATCTGTTCTATTAAGATTTGAAACCTGAAAATTTGAAAAATCCTCGTCAGTGATTGGCTTGAAAAAATTGGCGAGCACTAAATCTTGTTATATACCAGCGTATTTCATAATTATATATCTGGCAGGCAGATTATGTTTTCATATAGTTAGTATCACAATATCTGTTAGATAATAAACTTATTATGACAGCAGTGGTATGTTAACATTTGATATATTATTACATACTGGCTCCTATGGTATGTATCGAAGCCAAGACAATAAATTGCTACCTTTGGAACCTGTCTGAGCTAGATACAAGTCACTATCCAGTCTATTATTTAGTATAACAATTGCATCATCAAGTAACATAGTATTCCATACACCTCGGAAATATCAGTGGCAGCAATTGCTGCATGCAGAATGTCACGTCCAAGAAAAAAACAGAACTTCTCAAGTTCTGCTATAGATATACAGTTCAAGCATTAACATCTCATCTTATAAATGCCCCTCCACTTATTAATATGCCCCAGCTGCTTTTGTTACAGAAGTAGTCAGAAAATTGTTTTTTGAAAATTTATTCAACACCCCATTTTTTTAAAAGTTTTTATCGTCTTATGCCACAACAGGGTGGCGTTTTTAGAGATTATAATAATGGTATTTCAAACATCTTGAACAAGTGTGCAAATTTCAAAGCCATATGTCAATGGACTTTGAAAATATTTGAGGTATTACAAAAACTTTAACATAAGTGGTTACGCCGACGCGGACGCTCGAGTGACTACAATAGCTCTACTTATTCTTATCGAATAGTCGAGCTAAAAACCTTTGGTGCCCCTTAAATAAAGTTCATCTGTGGAAAGAACAAGCTTCTAGCTGGGAACCATCCTAGACTTAAAGAGTATTTTAATACAGCTGAATAATATCCTTTCAAGTAAAAAGTCAACATCACTTGTGTGGATTAAAAAGTGGATAGCTCTGATTGGAAAATAAAACGGCGCTATCAACGAGGTCCATCAGAAAAGTTTTAAAGGGATTAAATTGTGGGTTCCCAATTTTTTTTAAAAATTCTAGACCTTTTTTACTTATCTAGTATGTAGGGGAATATACACCTTTCAAAAAACCGATGATAAAAAAACGGGTTTTCTGAAACACTCGCGGTGTTCAATAATAAGAAACCCCCAAAAGCCTTTCCCCATTTAAATTTCCCATATTTTTTCATCTTTTACATCGGTTTGCTACGGGGGGCATTAAATCTTCTTATATACCAGCGTATTTCATAATCATATATCTGGCAGAAAGATTATGTTTTCCTATAGTTAGTATCACAATATCTGTTGGATAATAAACTTATTATGACAGCAGTGGTATGTTAACATTTGATATATTATTACATACTGGCTCCTGTGGTATGTATTGAAGCCAAGACAATAAATTGCTACCTTTGGAACCTGTCTGAGCTGGATAAAAGTCACTATCCAGTCTATTATCTAGTATAACAATTGCATCATCAAATAACACAGAATTCCATACACCTCGGAAATATTAGTGGCAGCAATTGCTGCATGCAGAATGTCACGTCCAAGAAAAAAAACAAGAACTCCTGAGCCACAGAAATACAGTACAACATCTTATTCCTGTATGCTCTGTAATAAAAGACCCTGCCCCCTTTTTGTTACAGAAGTATTCTGAAAGTTTATTCAACACTCCATTTTTTTAAAGTTTTTAACGTCTTATAACACAACATGGTGGCGTTTTTAGAGATTATATGGTATTTCAAACATCTTGAAAAATACCAATGCCAAGATAACAAAAAAAAATCATTCTAAAAAATCCTCCCCTTGGCTTAACCTATTACATCAGTAATTATGGTGTTTTGACATTATGCAAAACACTTATTTGAGTTGCCAAAACGTTTATTTTGAAAACTTACCATTCTCAAAACATCACTTGTGTAAACACCATTTCGAAATCCACAAAAACCTTTCCAGCACTAATTACTTGTCTGTCATCTATGTCAAACATTATTTTGAAATCTCAAGGGAAAAAAATTCTTTCATTAGTAGTCTGTATCTATGTCAAACAGTTCTTATTTTTTACTCTTTTTTTTTTCTTCAGACTTAAAGGGGCTTTGTTCTAACATATATTATATCATTCAAATGTAGGATAATTATCTGATTTTATTTCCCAGGAGCACAAGTATATTTAGATGTCCATATGCAGGAGGACCTCTTTTAAACCAATACCCCCTGAAATTATCATTTTGGGCAAAATTTAATATATTTGAATTACTTCCCGGGATTCATACATTTTAAAGTATTCCCAATTATTGTTGTACGCCATTGGCAGCAAATATTGCCAGAAATTCCTCCTAAAAGGAAAACAACATTAAAATTCCATCCCAACAGTACAGCTCCTGTTCCCCACAGCCCTGAAAACTCCTAGTCACAGGGGCCCGATACCAAACATACAGATTTTGGTTGCCAAATGATGACATTTTAAATGTAAATTGGGGGTCCAGTTTGGGAAAATTTTCCCCGCAGTTGCATTTCAATTTTGGCCTTGAAAAAAATTATGAAATTGCAAATGGGGAGGGCTGGTCCTTTAAAAAAACCTTTTCTTTTTAAAAAAAAGTTGAAAAAGGCCAAAATTTAAAAATATTGGGAAACTAGGATCTTCGGCAAAGGAAAAAAATTGGTGGCCTTTAATTTTTGGAAAATTAAATGAAGGCTAAACTTTTCGTGGTCCCCCGGGAACTTTTAAACCTCCAAAAACCACCAAACCCAAAAAAACCCACCCCCTGTAATTTACTTTTTAAAAGGAAAGTTTCATTACTTCCCAAAAATATTCTTAATATGAAGTTGCGTAGCTCTGAGACCATTTATTTGTTAACGGCTACAGTAAAAATCAATACCCTTTTCTAGATTCTAGGGTAATCAGTGTCCAATTCAGCTTCAACAAATAAAACCTTATATTGTCAGGAATACTTCCCACTCCTCACATCATCAAAGGTCATTTGAAGTATTATTGCTTTGATTAGACGGTGATTTTTTTTTCTCACAATAAAACTAGACAAGAAAGTTAAAGTTATTAAAAATTTTGGAAACCAGTTCTCAACGTTAAAAATTTTTCTAAAAATGATTTATTCTACAATTTTTAATTCCTACAAAATGGGGGTGGATTTACAATCTTAAACTCTAATGTTGTTAAAACCTGAAGTCATGAGCCTTTGTAATCCTAGTATAGAGCCAGGCCAGTCAAAACATCAGTGTTGGTAAACTTTAAATTTTCACCTTGAAATCACCAAATTTGATAACAGTTCCAACAAAGCACCGTATGCAGTATAAACACTCATCAAGTCAATGTTAAAGGGAGCATAACTCCAGCTTTTGGAATTATGCCCCTTGTCTGTAACAACTGCATCTTTTCATGATAAGCAAGTATTCCAAGTTTTATGTTTATAACTTGTTAAATGTTTGATTTATTATTATGGCTACATTAAAGATTTTGCACGACAATGATGTCAACGAAAACAACCCCACAGCCATCATAATAGCTTAGCTTTTTCTACGAAACAATGAAAAACTAAAAATGGTAACTGAACAAGTCTAGCAGTTCTACAACAGGTCGCCTGATTGTGTTTGAAACAATACAATGGACTGGGACAGAATGATCTCCATCAGTACAGCAAACCTATGACCTTTACAGAGAGTGCGACTTAAAATACAAAAAAACCAATTTGGCCGCCTTGACCTGCTTTGAATTTTGTTACTAGTTATAGAAAAAAAAAGAACTCTTGATTAGTAAATATGTCTGCAGAATAATAATCAAAGTCTTCTGAAAGCTTTATAATGGCAGAATCTTTTGTCAGCAGATTTTCTTCCTTATATGTCATTGATATTTCCTTCTAGGAGTGTGAAATGTAAGATGATAATAATAATTCATTCTCCCCGGAGGTAAATGTGTCATAAAATTCTGACTAAGAAATGAATCAGACGTATTTCTCATTTAAAACACCAGTGTTTATTTTATAAAATAGTTCTCCCATTCTTGTCTTCTTCACTGCTGCAGGAATTCAATTGATTGTAAAATACAGGCATAACAAATGTTTATTGATATATTTTTTCCCCCAAATGATATTGTTTAGTTAAAGAGGCTGTGCAGAACATCTGCATTCTTCATTAACAAATAAACTGATGTATTTCCATCCGTTCCCACACTGCTACGAAATTTCTCACTTAAATAAAATGAAATTAAAATGAAATGAAATTCCTATACCTTTATCATTTAAAACTTCATTAAGTTAGTAAAGAAAGCAAGAATTTGTCTAAATTACCGCCCTTCTGTCATCCTATCAAAGTACATTTAAATGGAAACACAAAGTTACAGCCCTTGAATTATCCCGGTCTGACAAGTCTTAAAATCATACTTGAATTAAAAATCTAAAGTTATGGCCCTTTAATGAGCAAAAATTGTCCTGGTCTTAATTATCATAAATTCATAGTAAAGTTATATCTGTTTACCGTCAAGTTAATAAAAAGAACAAGAACTTACATTTCTGAATAAACTCCCTCCTTTAATCTCATCAAAAGAAAGAGACATTTAAATGAAAATCTAGAGTAACAGCCCTTGAATAAGCAAAAACTATTCAATTTTGATATATGAAATATTTTAAAGGAGAGTAACACATAAAATGAAACAAAGTAGAGTAACAGCCCTTAAATGTGCTGGAACTGTGCAGGTCTTTAATCATCCTGGTTATTTTAATATAGGCCTACTATTACAAAGATTTCCTATACACAAAAGTGGTCTTTAACTCAGGTTTGACAGTATAATAATTGCATATTTTATTCATTCATTTCTTGACATGAACAAAATAATAATGACCTTAAACTTCAAAATTTTGATAAACAGCCAGCAGGTGTTAATCACGTTTTACTTCCCTTTAACATTATGATCCACACGTATACCATACAACAAAATCTTTCACGAATAACAAGTTTAAAATTGCATAGTTTTTCATCAACTGTGCAGTCAGATACAAATGCAACTAAAAACGCAGACTAGAAGTTATTAAAATTTTTTTTAGAACCCTGCTTTGAACCTCTGGCTTTTCATTGGACAATATGCATTCTGTGTTGGTTTCTGACCAATCAAATACCCAAGATCTGAAAAATATGACCTAAAAAGTAAGCAACAATTGCAACTTTTCGGAACTTTCCGTCAGTTTTCGGATAGGAACCTCGAACACAATAGTGTGAACACACAGAACGGAAAAGGTATTTAGGTCTAACCTATTCCCAGGCAAGGCACGGTGCATTTAAACTCAAAACAACAATAAATGTCACAAAGAACGTGCACATTAAATGTGCACAGACCAGTCCATACCTGTTGGCATAGCCAGTTAATTCTGCCACTAGCATTGAAAGAGGCATAAATTGACAACCTATCAAGTATAACCAATAAACTGACATTTTGTTACAGTGTTAATTATGTAATTTTTTTTTTGCTATTGATTTTCATAACAATCAGAGCTGAACTAATCCAAAAGCTTCATTGAATCAAATTTGCCTTATGAATACTTAACTACTGTAAAGACATAATTAAGCAGCCAAGTAGAATCGTGAAAGTTTTAGAATTTTTTTTTTTGAAAATAACATGACTGCAATATTATCAAACTGTGCAATCGGACCTTGGTCTGCAATGTTTGCTATTCAATCTGCACTTATTTTGAAATCTTCCATTACAATTATCTGAATGGTTTTGTTCAGATTGAAAGATGTCATGTGCATTTTAGCTATTTAGTGTGAAAAAACAATTCAATGACGTAGCTAGGAGTCAGTGTTAATAAAAAAACAAAAATTATGTACCTGGTTAAAATAAAAATTTATGTACATGTATATGGTTTAAATGAAAAATAACATGTGTAGTGTTAACACTAAAATATCAATTTGCACATTATACCATTTAAATAAAAAATTATGCATTATTTTGGTTTAATAAAAAATTTACAGCAAAATAATTTTGTATATAATATAATATTTGCTCCTACCTTTAAAACAGTACACAAACTTATTCTAAATCTGTCTTGACCTACTCTGAATTAAGCTCAGACCTTTTATTTATCAACTTTACAAATATAAAATTTCCGTGTTTCAAACTGCACTTAATATTTACAGTAGCATGCTAGCAAATCACGCCTCGACTTATGTTATAATATCGTTTAATCAAACATTTAATTCTCTGTTTAAAAGATATCGCTCGAGCAAAGTTTGGTATGAATAAAATGTAAATACACCAACCAATATATCGAAATAAAATACATACCGAAATAAAATACATACCGATAGCTTTGTTCACCTTTATTTGACTCCTTTATCACACTCTTTTTAATCAGCGGCAACCACAGACCATTATTCTAAGTTCCGTCAATAATCTTTACTATTATCATACAAATATATATTCCTATATACACCTTATACATAATATACAATGGGCTTTAGTAATCGGCCTAAAAAATCTCTACGTCAAAAGAATAAAAATCAAAACACAAAAACACAACTAGCCACGGCTTATATATTATTTGCAACTGGGTTAACAAATTGACTACTGCACCGAGATAAAGTTATTCCAATATATCTATAGTATAGCCATGTGACTATATAAACACATGGTATAATTTTCATACTTAAACGTTTAACGCTACAATCTCTTGGCTCTTGGTCAATATGAACTGACCATGACCGCAATGTTAATGACATTTTTAACTGTCCTTTTATGTAAATAAAAGGAATAAAATGATTATACCTAAGTCAGTATCTTCTGAATAATAACATTCATTTTAATTAACACAGTATAGCAAAATATTAAAGAAATTGTATTTCTTATTTGTGTACATTTTAAAGCAGCTTGGCTCCAGATGCTTGCAAATTCTAATGAAAGCGTATTTTAGAGCTCTAAATAATATAGTACTTTGTAAATGGTGCAAATAAAATGATTTAACCCTACCAGGCCTTATAATATATAGGCACTTAAAAATCCACACATAAAAAAACCCTTTTTAAAATGCAAAGTTTGCCTCAAGATTTCAATTGAAACTAGAGGATGCTTTTGTAAAAAAGCGCATGTCTCCCCCACTGCTGAGAATAACTGTGAATGGAAACAGGAATGGAAATGGAGATAAAAGAACAGAGTATATAAAACCAGACAACTGATATATCACTGATATATCAATAATAGTTAAATGTCCTCACTGATAAGAACTCTAGTTATCATCCGGAAATGAGAAAATGACCAATGGTCACTGTGACCTTAACCTTTGACCTACTGACCCCATAAACAAGAGGGATCATCTGCTCAATAAGACCAATCATCCTATGAAGTTTGAGGGTTGTAGGTCTAAAGGAACTCTAGTTATCATCTGGAAAGGAGAAATTAACCAACGGTCGCTGTGACCTTGACCTTTGACCTACTGACCATTAAAACATAGGGATCATTTGATTAATAAGACCAATCATCCTATGAAGTTTGAGGGTTGTAGGTCAAAAGGAACTCTAGTTATCATCCGGAAATGAGAAATTGACCAACGGTCACTGTGACCTTGACCTTTGACCTACTGACCCCAAAAACAATAGGGATCATCTGCTCTATAAGACAATCATCCTATGAAGTTTGAGGGCTGTAGGTCAAAAGGAACTCTAGTTATCATCCCGGAAACGAGAAATTGACCAACGGTCACTGTGACCTTGACCTTTGAACTACTGACCCCAAAAACAATAGGGATCATCTGCTCAATTAGACCAATCATCCTATGAAGTTTGAGGTCTGTAGGTCTAAAGGAACTCTAGTTATCATCCGGAAACGAGAAATTGACCAACGGTCAGTGTGACCTTGACCTTTGACCTACTGACCCCAAAAACAATAGGGATCATCAGCTCTATAAGACCAATCATCCTATGAAGTTTGAGGGCTGTAGGTCAAAGGAACTCTAGTTATCATCCGGAAACGAGAAATTGACCAACGGTCACTGTGACCTTGACCTTTGAACTACTGACCCCAAAAACAATAGGGATCATCTGCTCAATAAGACCATTCATCCTATGAAGTTTGAGAGCTGTAGGTCAAAAGGAACTCTAGTTATCGTCCGGAAACGAAGAATGGACGGACGGACTGACTGACGGACTGACGGACGGACGGACAGGGCAAAAACAATATGTCTCCCCCCGAGGTGGGGGAGACATAATTCTTATTTGTACATCATATAAAACCACTATCTGCAGAATAAAGGTCAATCAATTACGCTAAACATATAGTAGGATATTGCAAGGATTCATTATAATTCGAAATCGCATAATAAAAAATCCAAGAAAGCCTCCTATCTGCTCAAGGTCTGGTATCTGATAGTGTTGCGGCGTTCCAAATTTTTCTCAATTTCACAAAAATTAGGACATTGTGCGATATTTTGCAAAATTAATCTGTAAAGCATTACTGTTCAATACTTGAATAAGAATACAATATTCAGCACATTTTAAAGAAATCAAAAATCAATGCAATGCAAAATCATAATCAGTCTGCATTGGGAGTGAGTAATTTATAGTATTACAAAAATATGCTTTAAAGGGAGATAACAGTATAATAGCACTAAGAAAAATGGATACTCTTAAATCAGTTAAACTTCTGCCTGTAGATTTCAGAACCTACATCAGACAATTTTATATAAGAGCAAGTCCCCAGATAAGTTTCTTAAATAATGAATACTCTCAGCCATGCAATTAAAGCATTTTTCTCATTAGAAAAAACTTCAAAGTCCTTCTACCCATAGATTTCAGCATTATATAAGAACAAGAAGTAATACATGGCCAGTGACCTTGATATCAGAAGTCATGCAAGCAATAAAAATTATGTTCTTTTGCTGACCAAAAACCAAACAATAATAATATGTTTATTATACTACATGCTATAAACAACTGACTGAACACTAAGTAAGGGGGTCAATGACTTTCCTGTACTAATGCATAGACAACCTAACTAACCACTGGATCATTACACACAAGGTCAATACCCTGATTTGTAGGCTGTTAACATCCCAAAGAAAGATGATTTTCAAAATACCTGTAAACAAATCTATGAAATCCTTAATAAAATTATCAGACTGTGAACTATAAAGCCAACAAACCAAGAAAGCAGGTGAAAAAATTTAGGTGATATTTTACCTTTAAAATCTTTTTTTTTTCTTTTCGGAACAGAAAAAAAAGCTATCAGAGCAAGTTTACTAGTGATAAACTAGTGAAATGGACTAATCATGCTTTAATTTGCTTTGAACTTGGCCCAGTCCATCTACAGTTCAAGGGATTTGAATATATTATATTACTAAAACTCGGAGCAGCTCAAGCTCTGCTAGTTTTAATTTGAATCAATCTGAGTACAGCCTAGCCCAGTTCTTTATGCAGAGCAATAACTGTAGGCTCAGACATTTTGGGAAAGGCAGTGATTACTCTTATTAAACAAATGAAAACAATAAACGCTTGCAGTCGGCAAAATCTGTTTTGTCCTTTTTATCTGCTTGGCCTATAATATTCTAAAAAAAATATTCATTTAAACAGTATTCAATTTTCAACATGAAAAAGAATAGGTATCAATGCCTATTATTGTCACAAATAATTATTGTCACAATTTAAACCAGACATTATAACAACTTAGATACTTATGTAAAATGTATAAGACTTACTACTTTTATGTTTCGCTAACAATCCAAGGTCCAAAGGTAAAACAAAAACACCAACTTCTGAGTTCTGAACTTAAAAAACAGTTTCAATTTCCCCTGTAATTAGGTCCATATCCATTTATCATTGATCAAACAGGAAGTAAATATATCTCTTTCAATGAATGAAACTCAGGAAGTTACATCTTCATGATGATAATACACTATTAAATTAACTGTAAATACTTTTAATATCAAAACTATCATAACATTGTCCTGATCTTATTTCAAGATTTCCTACTAATATTGTATTAAACAGACCACATTAAACTGACCTCACCGTCAAGTTATTTAAGTTTCTGAGATATAAGGTGCTTTTCAATTGATGAAAGAAAAGTATGACAAAGAAAGGCAACATTTACATTATACTGAACAAAGTCCATTTAACTTAAAAAAAAATGACACCAATTCTAAGGGGAGTGGTGGCCTAGTGGTTAAGGTGTCTGCCTCTCAACCCAGAGATCATGGTTTCGAGCCCTACTCGGGTCACGACCATGTTTCTTCATACTGTACTGGTTGGTTCCAGGAAGAGGACTCGAAAGTGAATAATAAAAGTTGCAAGAACTGGTTTCGCAATCGAGCTTAAATAAATATGTTTAAACCAACCCAAAATCTTATGTTTTAATTAATTAAATATGGCCGAGGTCATTGACTGCTTGACATTGTCTGGATATTTAGAGAATACAGATGAGCAGACGGCATTGACACATTAATGTTCACACCAGAAAGAATTAATGTAGTAGGGCATTCATTCTAAGAAATAATCACCGAATATGAAGACAACAGGAAATCCATTATTCTGGTCCAAATTGTGAGACATTTACAATTATATGAGTTTTTATTTTGTTAGTTTTTTTGTTGTTTTTTTCATTTTGTTAGTTTTTTTTTTGTTTTTTTCCAGAAAAATATAAAAATATTACACTTCCCGACTGTAGACACAGACAGAAATATTCAGCTCTTGGGTTAAAAGTTTATTGCTGCTTGCAGAAACATTGAAGACTCAGATAATATCCAGTTACCAATAAACAGCAACCAGAACGCAGAATATTCAGCAAGTGTTTGAATGACTTATTTTCTAGAATATTTCATAATTATTATTTGTTAAAATCGGGAAATTTTTTTTTTAAATGAAAACTAAAAATTTTTACTTCTCACTATTATTCTATAAATTAATTCAAATTTATTGAAACAAAATGCCCATCTTTTATAAATTCAACCCCAAGTGACTCATAAAAGTAACCCCAAGTTGTCAGTTTTCACTTTTTTCTAGCGCTCGCTCGGCTGACATTTTTTTTAGCAGTTTTAACATTGTTAAAAAGGGACGGGAAAAATCCATTTTTGACATGCAAGAAGCTACAGGGAAACCCTTTGGAAAACTCTGGGCGGGGTGCCCTTTAAATTTTACAAAATTCCCAATACTTTTTTTCTTTATAACTGATAATTCAAGTAACTAAAAAAAATTAATTTTAGACCTGGCTAAAAAATTTATTTTTAAACAGTAATTTATACTTAAATTTTTGGGTTTTTTGAATTTTATTTTTCCGGAAGATTGGGGATCTGAAACTCAACCACTGCATTTTTCTGAACCCAGCAGTATATAAACCTTTTTTTTCCATTTCCCTGTTTTTAAAAAATTTTTTTTTAAAATATTTTAAAGTCCAAAATCAAAATTTTTAAGCCATGGAACAGGTTTGAAATCTAAATGTTTAACATTTCGCATTTTTATTGTTGGGTTTTACGTCACACCAACACAGTATAGGTCATATGATGACTTTCAGCTTTACTAATGGAGGAAGACCTCAG